CTCATTAAAAAACTGAAAACAAAAATCAGTTCACATCAAAAAAAAAACATATACAAAACCTGTCAAAAAACCTGTGTTTCTAAACCAAGAACCAGTTCAAAAAACACCAAAGGCAAGAACCTGCCCAACCAGTAAAGCACTAAAGCCTTAACCAAAAAGTCCATCAAGCCTTACCGTTCAAACAACCAGTAAACCTTACCAGCATTTAAAGCCAAAACCTGCATTCCAAGCCTTTAACAGCACAAGCCTAAAACACCATAACCTGTGCCTGTCATCAACCTCAAAGCCATGAATAAACCTGCTAATGCATAAGTCTTTCAAATCAACACCCTCAAAATGTTTCATCACAGGGTGATACAAAGCAACTCAAACATATAATCCAAACATCATAACCAATTCAAAAAAGCATCAACCAAACATACCAAGCATTCAAACACATACAGAATCCCCCAAAGCCCTCAGAACCTAGGGTTCACCACTGGGAAAAAAAATCATCAAAGCCAGCATACAGAAGCGAGGAAGAGAAAGATTCAAATCAATATCAGCAAGGCATCAAGGCATCAAGCATACTCGGCAAGGCAAAGAGGAAAAGAAGTGAAACAGACGAAGCAAGCATTCAAGAGAAAAATAAATTTATCCAAGAGGTTCTCAGACATCATCATCATAAAACCTAGCAAAGGGGCGAATACAGAGTACCGTGGTTATCAAAGCCAGTCCACAGCATCGCCATCTCCTCGCCGTCAAGCCGCCACAGCGCCTCCGATCACATCTCTTCCTCCGTCTCCAAAAGGTAGTATCTCTTTTTCCTTTCCTTTCACGCACCTCCAACAAGAATCACAAACAAATGTCAACGCACAAAATCAGAACATGCAAGAAAGAAGAGTTAAAACCCTAAAATGTGCTGAGTTAAAATTTTACCTTGTGTGAACCATCGCTCGAGCGAATCCGTGGATGGAGAAAGAGGTGGATGATGGCGTTGGTGGCTAGCCAAGAAGGGACGTGGTTCTGGAGGCTTGGCTCAAAAGACGAAGATGAACGGAAGTGAAGACGAAAACGGCGCACCTCTGTTACAAACCCTAACCCGTTCCAAATGAACACAAACTTTGAAACCCTTTGCAAACATTTGTCAACTTGCTTTGGGCCTTCCCCTTTCTGAAACGCTCAAGCCCATTGTCAAATTAACAAGCGCACCCCCTCATTCCTAAAAACATGCAAATTTTGTTTGGGCCACAAGACCCTCTAAAGCCCATTCTTGTTTTTTTTTTTTAAACTAAAAAATATTTTTTCTTTTATCACCCTAATATCTTTTTTATATAACTTACATTAATACATTAATTTTGTTTCTTTACATTAATTTTTTATAGAATATTAACTAAACATGAACATAATAATTTTCTCAAATTTAAAACATTAATTCTTTCTCAAAATTGAAACTTTTTCTTTTCCTTTTATACATAAAAATACACTAAAACATATAATTAAACCCAAAACATTTCTTTTTTTTCTTTTCTTAAAAAATCTTTTCTTTATACATAAAAATATTAATTAAAAACATAAAAAATAGAATTTAAGATGTTTTCTTTTCTTTTATTAAATTTTCTCCTTTGTACATATCAACAAAAGATAATAATACTTGACAAATAAAATACTTGATAATTCATTAAGTGAACAATACTTCATAATACATACACTTACACAATTACATTAACACATTTACATTTACATTTGCTATTCTTATACATTGCTATACATTATATTTTACATCGCGATCGATTCGATTTGGTTGTAATTATTTAAAGTCTCATCCCCATTTGTAAATTTGTACCCCCATCCCCGGATACTCATTTGTAATAGTTTAGGACTTTAAATTCCCTCAATTTATCGCTTTCGAATTATACCATGGTTAGACCTAGGGTTTGTATGTACATAAAATCAAACGCTAGATAACCTAATACAAGACAAATACATGAAATCAATACACAATCACACTTGCACCCCCTAGGGTAATCCCACATGTTGCCTTCCAAAATGGGCCATGCTTGCACGTCGAGTTTCTTTGGCAAAACAATTCAAATGATCATAAGTCCCTCGATGACGCTTTCGAAAGTTGCCTATCAAAATGATCATAGTCCCTTCAAGCAAAATTGCCAAAGACACTTGGCATCATTGCATTCATGGTCCATACGATGACCCGTGCCTGTCCCGTTAAACATCCTAAACGCAAGATTGTCCACCAAATACGATGATGGAACAAAATTGTTAAAAAGGGTTAAAACATGAGAAAAACCTTTGAGTAAATTTAGGGGTAGACAAAACTCTTAGTTACTTGATCGACTTGCAAAAAACACTTGCCTCATTTTCAAAACCACACTCCACAAAACACTTTCAAAAAACAATCTTAAAAAACATTTGAAACATCTTTTCAAAAAGATACACACCCTTGTATATACTCAAACACGAGTCATTACAACGGTTGCCGAAACAAAGGCGTCTATTTCAAAACATTTTCAAAACACACACACACACACACACACCATTTTCAAGCAATCAAAAATCAAAGGCAAGTGATCTAAAACCAAGTAACTAAGAGCCCATGGATAACCATGGATGAAAAGGGTGCTAATACCTTCCCTTTTCATAATCTACCCCCCGAACCCACGAAACATCTCAAAAGGTTTTTTCCTGTGCTTTTTTAACCTTTCCTTTAGGATAAAATAAAAAGTCGGTGGCGACTCTTGCTAAACCGAACAAGTGAGAATACAAACACAAAACCCCAAGTCAGTTCTCCCACCGTATCATAGGTTGTTATATGGACATTACAACAAGCTTGGGCTTGGAAGCATATTGGACTTATCTCAGCAAGCATCTTGAATACTTCACCCTTTTGTTTTGATCATATAGATCCACAACCTTTGACCAAACTGATCAATAGACGAAATAATATTTGTTTCCAAAAATGTGTGTCCTTCGAATGGACAACACAACCTTCGACCAGAATCAACATCAGACGAAACAATATTTGTTTCCACCACATGTGTTTCCTTCGAATGGACCACACAACCTTCGAACAAACTCAACAACAGATGAAACAATATTTGTTTCCAATAAATGTGTATCCTTCGAATGGACCACATAACCTTCGACTAGACTCAATAACAGACGAAACAATATTTGTTTCCACCAAATGTGTGTCCTTCGATTGTGCCACATTCATCTGAATGTACCGCTTTGAGCATGCAAGATGATCTCATTAGAATAGTCGAAAGAATTTCCGGATTTCTTTCCTACCAGTAACCATCAGTTGATTAAGTGGTCTAAACTTCAAATTTCCAAACCTTAAATTGTAATTCATAGTGTAGAAATCATGTGTGTCGAAGGGTTTAGAGGTGGAATCGAAGCAAGCATGAAGGAAGTCATTGCCTTGTGGATCGAAGCAAGGATGAAGTAAGCCATTGCCTTGTGGATCGAAGCAAGCATGAAGGAAGTCGTTGCCTTGTGGATCGATGAAAGCATGAAGAAAGCCATTGCGTTGTGGATCGAAGCAAGCATGAAGGAAGCCATTGCTTTATGGATCAAAGTAAGCATGAAGTAAGCCATTGCCTTGTTGAAGCTTCTGGATCGAAGAAAGCTTTCTCTTCTTCGATTTGTTAAAATCTACCAACCACCACTAGTGCAGAAATGACTTTTTACATCGGGTGAATTTGACTTTTTACATCGGTTTTGGGTCCGATGTAAAGTCAAGCGATATAGTAAATCAGGGACTTTTTACATCGGTTCTGGGACCGATGTAAAAAGTTCCTTTTTTACATCGGTTATAATATCAGAACCGATGTAATAACTTGTTATTATGCACATTTTTTAAAAAAATTGATCCAGTTTTTTACATTGGTTGGAAGTAATACCCGATGTAAAAAGTACCTTTTTTACATCGGTTATAATATATGAACCGATGTAAGAAACAATTATTATGCACATTTTTTTTAAAAATTGATCCAATTTTTTACATCGGTTGGAAGTAATACCCGATGTAAAAAGTCCCCAGTGACGCGACTTTTTACATCGGTTATTATCTCCAACCGATGTAAAAAGACCCTTTTTGAAAGTTTTTACATCAGTTTTTACTAATAACCGATGTAAAATGTATGAAATTTTTTTGGAATAGATTATTTATTTTCTGGGTTTCCCTATACAAATATAATTTGTACCCATTTTTTCATATTTTTCCAATATCAAACAGACTATATTTATGTCGCTATATAGATTTCATAGCTTTCCAACATCACATATATCACATTTAGGACGATGTTTTCATATTTTTCACAACAAACTTACAAATTGAACAATTGTATTGCAAACTTGTATTGTATTACAACATACAAACTTACAATTACAAATTCTTCACAAAATATAAAACAATATTCAACTATTTATAAGTCTTTTTCAAAACTTACAATTACATAATATTCACAAAATATACATATACTAAAATATTCAACTATTTCTAAGTTTCCAAACTTGAATTACCAATATAAAATCTTCGGTAGACAACACCAAAATCATATTGCCTGACAATAAATAATAACAATTAACATCAGCAAAAAAATCAAGAAACTCAACACATGAGCAAAAACCACTTGTATTGTGCAAAAACCACAACTTATACAATTCTATAAAACTCACCAAGCTAAACTTAAGTTCCATGTAAGTCAAAGAAACATTTTGCCCAACGAAGTCGCAAATCATACAAATCATCTGGTTTTAATTCTGTTGGGTCATCAAATACCTATAATACATAAATATAACAATATAGAGTTATTTTTAAAAAATTCATATTAAGTCGAAAAACAAAAAGTAAAGAACAAAGTAAAGTTATTTTTAGTACCTGCATCCAAATCAAACAGATCTTAGATCTCTTAAAAGGTGATCATATACGAGATTACTTTGACTATGCGGTTATCATGATGACGGCAGAGTCCAAAAAGTCAGTATAGAAATGCAAATTAATAAGATAATAGCCACAAGAGGAATGTTGACCAAGCAGTAAGTGCTATGGCTGCAGCACTATATGTCCATAACAGAATAACCGAACACTCTTCATTTCCTACATCAAACAATTGCGCCATAGTACCTGCATAATATATCATTCAATTTTAAACTTAGAATTTCGAACCATTAACATAATCATTATATGCATGAATGAATCTAATTACTTACTAATATTCATTGCTGGTGGCATTGCATATTGCATCACTAGAGTGTACTGAAACAAAGGATCCACTGGGAGAACCCCCAAATTCGCTGCGGCTTTAACAATAAACAATCCAATAACAGGTAGCACGAAAAGCCGAGTTATGATGATGCTGATGAGCGTAGATGGTTTTACACTTGACGATTTCAAGCCTGCAATTTAAATACAAAGTTAACAAAACAAAACCATTTTTTGGATACAGTATTGGTAAAGTACGTCTGCTATCAGATAGTTTGATTTTTTCTGATACCTTGAGTGAGGTTACCACCAAGTAAAAGAGTGATGCAAGGAATTGTTCCATTCCTGCAAAGAATTTAGTTTCAAGAAATAATTGCATGGTTAGAAAATAAGTAGAAAGTTTTAGGACTAATTGGTGTTCATGAGAAAATTAAGGCACTTACCCGAGTAACACAAGTGTGTTTTAGATTACACTCAACGGAGCATTGTCTCCAATTATTAGGTTTCTTAACCATGCAACCGCACCAAAGAGAAAACCGAAAAACTGATGATTAAATATTGAAGATTTGAATGTCAAATTTTGAAATGTAACAAAGTATAAGACGGGAAGAAGGAAAGAAGAAGAAAAAAAACTCACTGTCGCGATTGCTGGTGGTGACATTAGCTCTACTATAAGATTGCGTAAAACTTCTATCGTTCTAGCGAGAAATGAATGATTCTCCTTCTTCAATACAATAAACTGATCTGGCTCAACAATCTGAAAATCCAGATTAACAGTCATTTCATAATAATTTAATATTAATTTAGGACATTTTAAATTTATTAAGGTCTGAAATAAGGGTTAAAGAAGTTAAGAGATCACGGTTCAAATCAATGAATGAAAAAAGTAGTAACATAATGCTAATATACTAACATTTGCCTAATAAAAATATATATACCCATAAGGTCTTACAATTTGGCTTTCAGAGTCTTCAATATAACTTAATGGTATCACTTCTATCGCGGTGTTTTTATTCCAAACTATGTTTAAGTTATAATAAGTTTATTTTTTTGGTAATAAGTTATAATAAATGTTACAAAATATTTGATTATAGGTATTAAACTGTTTAATAAAAAATAAAAAATAATGAAACAATAATCAAATATTAAATAATACTTCTTTTAAAAAACAGCCAAGTGAGTCATACATGAAACATAGTCTAGTAACTGTGGCAAACCTTTAGGAGGTTCCTGAAAGTATACAAGATCAAGAATCGATATATGATTAAAGAAACATTAGAGAGGTGAGATCAGAATGACATGGCAAGTATGTAGAAGAGATCTTACAAGTTTTGAGTCTTGAGAAGCAACTGTTGCATCAGTAGAAAAAGGCGGGGTGGATAAGAGTTGTTGCGGCAAAGGTCTAACAGACGAGTTAGTAATAACAGCGGTTCCATTTTCTGAGTGGAAACTATTTCTCTCGCTGAATCTTCTGCTGGGAAGAGCTCGATCGCCTATGTCACCGGCTTCTGAAACAGTCTCACAATCAACATCATTATCTGTGTGATGACTTCTATGACTTGACAAACTCAACGAACGCCTTCTAATTGAAGAACCATCGTCACTGTTCATTCTCTCCATGCCTAACACATACACAACTACATGAAACTAAAAAACATGTTTGATTCCTCCAACCACCCTGCAAGTTGGACAAGTTTGAGTCACAATTTACTACTTAACCTTTATTTAATTTATTGTCATTGAAAGAAACACATAAATAAGTTTTGTCAGGCAATCAATATTGACTTATGGATGGATTCACGTGGATAAAGACAAAAACAAGTAATGAAGAATCAATGGTGTCTACAAAATTGTATAAAATGAGGAATAAGAAAGTATAAAATGTATAAAGATGACGTTAAGTTGATGTGCCTAACAAAGGAGGGAATAGTTTACTTACAATTATTGTGGCGGAGATTTAACCTTTCATAACCCTTACTAACCCACAAAAAATCCAACAAAACAGATTAACAAAATAAAAAACATAACCAGAACAACAACAACATAGTACTTCGAATTTTTTCGATCAGAACAATCAACAAAAATTTCTCTCTTACAGTTGAAACTCAAAGAGGAATAATGCTAATAATTCGTTTTTTAAACAAAAATTTGCACTTACAGTTGAAACGACAAGCGAAGAGTCGTGAAGGTGAGCCGTTGACAGTGGGCGTCGGAGGAGAGACGACGAGGTGGGATGGTCGTTGACGGCGACGACGGTGGGCGTAGGAGGGAGACGGCGTCGCGGCAGCGGTGTGCGATGGAGGGAGACGGCGTCGCGGCAGTGGTGTGCGTCGGAGGAGAGAAGTCGATGTTGGACGGTCGTTGACGGCTGACGGCGACGACGGTGGGTCGGAGGAGGAGAGACGGCGAAATGGCGCGGTGGTGGGCGAAAATCTGGTCGCGGAGAAAATGGGTCAGAAAAAATGGGTAGAAAAAATGGAGGAGACTGTACAGTTCTGAAGTTATTATTTTTGTTTTTATTACCTTTTACATCAGTGGATATTGCACCCGATGTCATAGCATGCCACGTATGTGCTATTACATCGGTGGATATTTCACCCGATGTAATAGTTGCCACGCGTTAATTTTTTTTTTTGTTTTTATTACTTTATTACATCGGTGGATATTTCACCCGATGTAATAGCTGGCACGCGTTGATTTTTTTTTTTGTTTTTGTTACTTTATTACATCGGTGGATATTTCACCCGATGTAATAGCTGGCACGCGTTAATTTTTTTTTTTGTTTTTATTACTTTATTACATCGGTGGTTTTTTCTGCTTTTTTTAATATATCTTTTATACTAAATCCAACGAGTTTATTACATCGGTGGAAAGTCCAACCGATGTAATAGCTTTCTTATATTTTTTTTAACGTTTTAGACACTTTGTCTCTTATTTACAAAAATGCCACCGTTTTTTTTGTAAATCTTTTACATCGGTGGATGAGATTGCCCGATGTAATAGGTGACGAAAAAAAATTTTTTCCTTAGTTTTTATATCATTGTAAATAAATACCTGATGTAATAAGTATTTTTTACATCACATATTTTGATACCCGATGTAAAAACTTTTTCTGAAATGTCTTTTTTTTAGTAGTGCACTCCTTTCGACCAGTCATGTAATTCGACCATCCTGAACCAAATTTTAAATTTGACATAGTTATCTGCACACCTTTTTTATCTCCTTTTCCCTTTAGATAGTTTTCTCTTTGACCTGATGCTTGAAAGCCCAATATGATCCATGGAAATTATATGGGGCATTAAAAGTCCAATTGTACTTGTCCAAACCCAAACCTTAATTTGAGCCCAGTGTTGAGGAAGTATCTTGAGCTGAGAGAGGGCAAATTTTAGGGTTCAACAGCTGCCCCTATTCAATCCTCTTTAACCTGAAGAGTTAGATTGGCGAGTCTTCCATTCGTTACTTGAAGGTGGAACATGATTGAACACTAGAGTGCCCATAAATTTGCACTCAACGGTTTGGTGGTTAATTATGTCGGGAATAGGCTTAAGAATGCCATTTGGAGAGGTGATAGAGAGTCTGTCGGAGATGGGCTTACAAATGCCATCCAGAGTGACTGTTGGTAGAAATTGGAAGAAATATCCGAATAAATCTCTTGTCGATTTATACTGAAAAATAGATGTAGTGGGATGAGTATTAGAATAATATCCATATCTGTATCGTATCTTACTCGTATCCGAAAGATGTACTGAATGAGTGTCAGAATGACATCCGTATTTAGATCGTATCTAAACCTCTTTTGAAAGATGTATTGAATGATTATCAGAATGACATTTGTATTTGGATCGTATCTAAATTGTTTTTGAGAATTATATTGAATGAGTGTCAGAATAACATCCATATCTGGATTGTATCTGAACTGCATTTTAGAAACGTACTGAATGAGTATCAGAATGACATTCGTATCTGGGTCGTATCTGAACTGTATTTGAGAAATGTACTAAATGATTTTCAGAATGACTACCGTATCTAGATCGTATCTAAATTGTATTTGAGAAATGTACTGAATGAGTGTCAGAATGACATCCGTATCTGGATCGTATTTCACCTGTATTTGAGAAATGTAATGAAAGAGTGTCAGAATGACATTCATATTTGGATCGTATCTGAACTGTATTTAAGAAATGTACTGAATGAGTGTCAGAATGACATTCGTATCTAGATCGTATCTGAACTGTATTTGAGAAATGTATTGAATGAGTGTCAGAATTACATCCGTATCTGGACTGTATCTGAATTATATTTGAGAAATGTACTGAATTAGTGTAAGAATGACGTCCGTATTTGTATCGTATCTGAATTGTATTTGAGAAATATACTGAATGAGTGTCAGAATGACATCCGTATCTGGATCGTATCTGAACTTTATTTGAAAGATATGTTGAATGAGTGTCAGAATGACATCCATATCTTGATCGTATCTGAACTGTATTTGAAAGAATATGGAATAAGTATCAAAATGACATCCGTATCTGGATGGTATCCGAAACTTTTCTAAAGTGAATCTGGAATAAGTATTAGAATGACATCCATATTTGGATCGTATCTGAACCATTTCTAGAGTGAATCTAGAATAAGTGTTAGAATGTCATCCGTCTCTAGATCGTATCTGGACTGTATTTAGAAGAGAATTTGGAATAAGTGTCAGAATGACATCCGTATCTGGATCGTATCTGAACCATTTCTAGAATGAATCTGGAATAAGTGTCAGAATGTCATCCGTCTCTGGATCGTATATGGACTATATCTAGAATAGAATCTAGAGTAAGTGTCAGAATGACATCCATATCTGGATCATATCTGAACTATTTCTGAAAAATGTATGAGAAGGAACCCGTGTAGGATTGCTTCATGATGAACCCGTGTGAAACTACATTTGGAAATGTATGGGAAGGTGCCTGGGTTACGTTGCTTCATGATGAGCCCGTGTAAAGCTGCATATGGAAATTTTGAGAAGGAATATATGTAATATTGCTTTAGCTGGTCGTGTAGATAGTTGCCCTGGCTTATTTCCGGAATTAATCTTTGACCTATTTCAGAAAGAAACATAATTTTCCGGGCTTGTTTCGGGAGTTAATCTTCAATATGCTCATGTAGATAGTTGTCCTGTCTTGTTTCAGGTATTAATCTATAATCAGTTGTTCACAGATGGTTGTCATGTCTTGTTTCAGGTATTAATCTACAGTCAGTTGTTCGTAGATAGTTGTCCTGTCTTGTTTCAGATATTAATTTGGAACTTGTTTTTTGTTGGTCGTAGAGATAGTTGCCCTGGCTTGTTTTAGGAATTAATCTCTGACCTATTTGAGAAAGAAAGATAGTTTCCCCAACTTGTTTCAGGAGTTACTTTTCAATTTGCTAGTGTATATAGTTGTCCTTTCTTGTTTCAGGTATTAATCTAAAATGAGTTGTTCACAGATAGTTGTCCTGTCTTATTTCAGGTATTAATCTGGAACCCACTTTTTGCTAGTCGTAGAGATAGTTGCTCTGGTTTGTTTCAGGAATTAATCTCTGACCTATGGAGAAAGAAAGATAGTTTCCTCTGTTTGTTTCAGGAGTTAATCTTCAATCTTCTCATGTAGATAGTTGTCCTGTCTTATTTCAGGTATTAATTTATAATCAGTTGTTCACAGATAGTTGTCCTGTTATGTTTCAGGTATTAATCTAGGACTCACTTTTTGTTGGTCGTAGAGATAGTTTCCCTGGCTTATTTCATGAATTAATCTCTGACCTTTTGATAAAAGGTTATGGTATTTACCAAAAGAGGGTTTTTTGTTGATTGACTTTTTCCTACAAGGAAGAGGATTAGTTACATGCAGATGTATCTTTGCTTCGAAAAATAAATCCTTGACAAATGTTGGGAAGCTTTGGGAAGTTAAATCTATGAATGTTGTTGGAGATGAAGAGTATGCACATCTTCAAACTTTGTTTAGAATGTTTTCACTGGGGATTCCCATTTTGTTTTTTGAAGAGAAATTCACTAGGGGGCGTTGGTTTTGCTTGAGGGAAGCACTATGGAGAGTATTGATTTTTTGCTTGGGGAAAAGAATTCAGGAGTTTTAGTTGTCCGTTGCTCTACTGAGTAGTTATACTCTTGATTAGAGAGAATGGAACCTAACAACTTTTTGAGGATAAAGAAGTTAATTGTTATCTGATTGGATTCTAGGCTTTGCCGCAACTCACTGGGGATAGTGGCAAGCATTTACTGGGGAAGAGGAATTTTGTTAGTGATTAGAAGAAGTTAAACTAAAATTTGGTCGGGTCCAGGTTTTAGTAACTTTTGGGGATATCAATGACTCTACCGGGATTAAAGGGTTTTGTCTGTTGATTTGTATTGGTCTATAGGATTCATAGATTGTTGGGGAAATAAACCCAATTGACAATCTGCTGGGAGGTGTTTTCTTCTGGAAGAACTCCTCAAGGCTTCCTCTTAAGACCAATTCTGCTGGGAGAGGTTTTCCAGAGGTTGAAACTCTGACTGGTGATTACATGGATCCAATCTTTGTAGGGATGTCCATGAACTTGGCCTTGTGGAGTTTGTACCCTTATCTGTTAAGATTATTCTA